CAGAAAAAACTGTTTGGGCTGGGCATGGTGGCTCACGCCTATAATCCCAGCACTTTGGGAGGCCGAGGCAGGTGGATCACGAGATCAGGAGTTTAAGACCAGCATGGCCAATGTAGTGAAACCCCATCTTTACTAAAAACACAAAAATTAGCCAGGTGTAGTGGCACGCACCTGTAATCCCAGTTACTCAGGAAGCTGAGGCAGGAGAATTGCTTGAACGTGGGAGGTGGAGGTTGCAGTGAGCCAAGATTGCATCACTGCACTCCGGCCTGAGCAACAGAGTTAGACTCCATCCGCCCCTCCTCAAAAAAAAAAAAAAGAAAACCTGTTTGATGCCATTATAGCAAATACAAATTCTCCAACTATAGACATCAGATTATTCACAATCTTTCTTACACTTTTGGGCCCCGTTGAAGAGAGCTCGGTCTTTTGGGGTGTCACCAACTTCAATTATCTTGGCGCCAGCCAAGAGTTGCATTATAAGGCCAGATGTGACAATGGGAGAGATTCCCAGCTCCATCAATGTGCCTTGAGGAAACGGAGAAGCAAAACAGTCAATATTAGCTTGGAAACATAGTACATTATTTTAAAAATGAATAAGCAAAATTTGACTGAGTACCCCTTATATGAAACTAATGTGTTTCAGTTTCCTAGCTGCATTTAATTTAGAGAACCCCAAAATATCAACGATTAGTGTATAATTCAATTCATTCTGTTCAGCCTGCGAGGCAACATCTTATTCTGTTTAGGAAGTCACATGGTGTCTAAACAGATTGCTGCATTTAAATTCACCATAAACAGATTCATTCTGGTTTTAGAGATAAGAAACGTTTGTCTCTTCATCAGTTAATAAAAAAAGGATAACATTCAAATAATTCCCAGAGTCTGGAAAGGCAGCCTGTACAATTGTATCTAGTTGTGAATAAGCCTCTACTTCCCATTATGTTAAAATGAGCTATATTTCCAACTGATTTGGAATTTAATTCAACTATGTTTTTAAAATGAGTTAATCAAATGCAGTATCAACATACACATTCAGAATCCTCCCCAGTCCCATAGGTAACTGGTTAGAGGATACAAAACACTGTTACATATTTTTTGACAATATATGTAACCTATAGATATGAAAAAGATACAGCTGAAAAACAAATTGCATATTCTGAAGAATGTTATCAATGGAAATGTCATCATTTCAGGTATTCAAAAAGTATTCTAGTTGTTTTTCCATGTTTTTTATTCTCTCTATAGCATAGACTTATCTTGTCAATACAGGTTTTGTACTGCATTCAAATACGATTCCAAATATGATGGTAATGCCTTGGTGCTGAACTCAGCATTTAATAAGGCTACTCAACACAGCACACTAACATTCTTCACTCTATTTTCCAAGTCACTCTCTAAGTTCCATATAAAGCCAAAGCCTATAATTTAACTAAGTGAAGCTAGGTAAGCCCACACTGTACAGAGAAAAGACAGAGAGAGCCAGAGTCCTACCTCTGTTAGAGGCTAGAATCACTCTCATCCAGTAGAAAGGGTCAGCTGAATCTGAAGACATGATCCCAAACAGGGGAATCTGGGAATAGGCAAAGAGCAAAACAGTCAGCACACCTGTTTCCAGCTACTTTTATCCCCCTCCCCAATACGAAATACAAGCCTTAGCTTACCTGGCAGCACACTAAGAAGATAAAGAGGGTGATAGCGGTCCACAGCACTTTCTCTTTAAACTGAATCTAGAGTAGAAGCGAATGAATTAAAGCAGGGGTTACTTTCAAAAGCAAATTAATAAAAATGGACTCCAATCAGACCCCTTTCTCTAAAAATGGACTCCAACCAGACCCTTTCCTCTGTTCAGCAGAGAAGCTGAACCATGTACCAAACATAAGTACCATTGTACTGCGTAACTTCCACTGCACAGAGTACAATGCAAGGACCTATAGGCATCACCCCAGCTCACCTCACACCACAGAGAGTTATCTTTATTTTACAACTCAGTCTTAGAAGACTAAATAATTTGTCCCAAACCGCAATGCTAAAGTGAGTTTGAGTCCCAAACTGTGCCATTAGCATTAACAGTTAAGACTCAAGATCAAAGAATGTCACAATAGAACATGACTTGTAAAACACACGAGCAACCACTTTTCATTTGAGTGTAAGTCACAAAACCTTGTTATTCTGGAGCCAAGTAATTTGGAATTGCTCAATAGTGTATTTTCTATGAATTAAGGGTAAAATAGTATAATAAACAATATTGGGGAAGGGCAGGAGAATTGCACGTTTAACCTATTAGTAACATCTGTTAAGGATTTTCACATCTTCTCAGGTACAAAGGTTGCACAGGTGACAAGAATCGCTGAAAAGATGACTATTACGTATCATAAGAAAGGTTTAGACCTTCCACCTAAAGCCTCTGTCACTAAAGAGTAGAGCGGGAACTCTTCCAGGTTTTCTGCCTCTGAAACTGAGTGTCTTCACTAGTGTCTGCTGCCTACACTAGACTAATGACTTTAGAGGGCTTAACAAATATGAATTATCGTATAGACGGAAGATTCTGAGGTTGAAATACCTTGTGAGAGACTGACATTATTAAGCGAACAAAACCGTATTCTTTAAAAACACTTCTAGGCAGCCACTGAGTCAGCATTCCCAGCCCTCTGGCCAGAACAGGAGTCACAGTCCTCTAACTATACATGCAGGCAAAGTAGGACACAGTCATACAGCCACACAAGGGTGGTGTGAATTAGTGTTCAGATACTTCATCCAAAGCTGAGGGCATTCACAGGACTCTTCTTCTCTTGAGAATGCTCCTCTTCCCACCTACCATCCCACCACACTAAGAAATTAGAAAATGGCTGAGAAAAGGCAACACCATTTCAGACTAACCTGTCTGAAATGAATCTTGACGGGAAACAAAGAGCAGACAATTTTTTCAAGACTTTTTAATCACCAAGTCCCCTCTCCTGGTTACAATCAAATTTAACATCAAAACCCCAAAAGCTCTTTTTCCAAGTCCTGTCTCCTCTGCCTCTTAGTAGCCCCTAAATCCATTCTTGCTCAGTACCACAGTTCATCCTCTGATGTGAAAAGCCTCTAAACCAACTCTAGTCCTCTCCCTTCCTTCCAAAGTGACATTCTTATGTCTGGCCCTTGTTATTCATCTCCTGTTGTTCCCCACCTTCCATTATGTTCCATCAATAGGAACTACATCTAACAACCTCTCATCCAAACATGCTACACTCTTGTCACCAATGCCTTTGCAAACGATATACTCCTTTTACTTGGAATTCCTTTCCATCCCTTCAAGGAGACTTCTATTTGTCCTTCAAAACCACTGTAAGACATCATGTCTTCCAGAGTTAATCCCTTCCTGAGCCACTGCTATACCTTGCACATATTTCCCTTGTTCCATCTACCACACTGAGTTACAAGGCCAATGTCACATAGCTACTAAGGAGCGATGTAAAGAGTAGGACCTAGGCTTGCCTGCCTCCAGAGCCATACCCCTCCACTACATTGGAATTGAGGGGTAAAGTTTTACAAATTCGTCCATTAAAAGAAGCACATGGGCATTTCTATGAAACTATTTTAAGTAAAAAATGAAAGTGGATTCCAACAACCCAAGTGTCCATGTGAATGCTTTAACAACAGTTTGAAAAATAATGTGAGGATACAAACATTTTATTCCCCACTCTCTAACCTAGGAACCTAACGAAACTTTTTTTTCGTTATTTGATAGCTGCACTTATACTGGCAACACTCACTCCACACAATTTCGGATTCAACACAGTTCTACATTTAATCTTTCCTTATTTTAATACACTGGCTGTGAAAAGCAGCAGACTTCACAAAAGAATAGGCTTTATTCTCACTACTGTGACAGCCTACATAAAAGGTACAAACTCATTTGCAAATACTAAAGTGACAGCCCTTCCCTTTAACAGATGGATACAAAGGGCATCTACTGGGAAAAAAAACCCAACCCATGACCTGCTCCCGTTGGAGGTGAAAAAGGGAGGGTAACTCAATCTGCTATCCTAACTGAGGCCTTATTCATTCACGGCTCGGATCCATTTTTGGGACAGGGCAACCGGAGGCTTTGTTCTCGGAGCAACTTCCACTAAAGATGCTCCAAATACAGCACGATGACTTCCGTGGAAATTTCCACACAACCAGGTCACCTTTCGACAGCTCTCCTGAGTAACAGAGCACGACTACACTCCAAGGCAAGAAAAGGGAGGTTTCCATTGCCGTGCTGAAGCCATTTTTAATCATACTGTAAACTTCCAGAGTCCAGGCAGTTTCCTGAAACCTTCTTTGTTGGCAATTTGGGGTACTTACCTTCCTCTCCGGCTTCTGAATTTCCGGCAGGATGACACAGAAGGGTTTGATGACTTCCAGAAATTTGACTTTGATGGGAGAAACAAAACAGGAAGAGTTAGAACACAGAGAAGTAACCGTCCGCGCTACCCAGGGAAGCCTTCTGCCCAGGACGAGTGAGAGCAGTGGCCAGGGGAGCCGGCCGCATCCGGGACTCGTGGGGATACTCGAGAAGGGTCGGGGACACCGGCCGCGTTCTGCAGGGGGCCGGGCAGGGCTGGCCGGCGAGCTCTCGACCGCACGGGTGAGGGGAAGGGGAATCTGATCCGTCCCCGCCTCGGTAGAGCTGCCCCTGCAGGACTCACTTGCCATGGCGGCGGCTGCTCGGGCTCCGGGTCCCGCTTCGGCTCAGCTCTGCTCCGCGTGACGCGACCCTGCCCGCGGCCCAGTCTGTTCCACCGCACAGCACCTCCGCCGAGAGACACGTCACTGCTAGCCCGGCGGCGAGCGGCACGGCGAGGCGCGGGGCGGGGCCGGGGCCGGGGCAGGGCCTCGGGTCGCTTCCGCTTCCTGCCACGCGCGTCCGCCGGCCGCGGCGCCTCGCCGCGCCGCGCCGCGCCGCTTACGCCGACACCACAAGCCCCGGCATGCAGCGGGGCTCCTGGGGCCTGTCGGGAAGCAGCCGTCGCGCCGGGCACGCTGGGACTGGCGGTGTGCGTCTTCGCAGACTTGGTAACGCGAGAGCGCGTGGTGAGAGTGTGTCACGTCTCTGGAGACGGGGACGGTGCGGTCCCACGAAGAAACTGAGGCAAGCGCGAAGCGTCGAGTGCGCGCGTGGCCCTGAGGGCAGGCGGAGACCCTGGTGGCTCCCATACGCGTAACAGCACTCACTGCTCTTTGACGTTAGTGAATAGAACGTAAGCTACTTGGAGCAGGGACCTTGTCCCAGCGTCGACCGCGGCGCCCGTCACCTCGTAGGTCTCAATCATTACCTGCTGAGTAGGGCGCGTGCTGGTGGGGCTTACCGAGCACCCTCGCTGGTTGAGTCATTAAGCAAACCCGGAGGCCTGTCGTGGGTGTGGGATCCCTTCCGTCTGAGAACGAATGGGATGAGTTTCTGGAGAGACTTGGCCCGAGAAGGGCCGGGGCAGCTCGGGAAGTAGTCTGCCTCACGGAAGAATTCAGGAAGGCCTCCTGGGAGAGTACCTTTGTGCCGAGCCTTGATGGATTCTGGCGAGAAGGAATGAGGGAAAAGGGTGTTCCAGGTTGAGGAGACTGTTGTGGACAAGGCATGGCGGTGTGATTGCCCAAGATGAGTGGGAAAGGGGGATAAGGGGTAGGTCAAGGGATGCTGGGGCTGGGGGTTGGAATTTACTTTCAGGCATCTGTAGTCAGTAGGTATGATGTCATCTAAGAGAAATAGACTTCATGCTGTGAGCGTTTAGCGGGGTGAAGGTGGGCATGCCTTGTGGGATCAGGCAAGGTTTCACGGGGCTAAACCTGGACCAGGACAGGTAGAGTTGGAGGTACTTATGTGGCAAGATGCTTTTTTGCTTTTTAATTTAGGTGTCAACTATTTGGATTTTTCCATTCTCTCCCATTTCTAGCAGATAACCAGGTTTTGTAAATCCTTGGCTCAGAAAGTTGGACAGGACAGGAACTCTTTTTTGGAATACAAACCCCCTGGTGGAAAAATCAAAGGACTACTGGAAACAGGCTGGTAACTTCAGTGAAGTGGTCTAGGTGTGACATCACTTGATATCCATCCCCCACCCAAAAGGGGAAAAAGAAGACATTGACTGTTTATTCAGAGTCTGAAACGCAACCCATCTTCACTTCCAGGACCCACTGATGATCTCTTCTGGAGTTTTGGCCTGAAGCTAAAACTGGCAGCCCCTGGACTAAGTTCGGCATATAGACTAGATTCGATATTTAGCCATTATGCACCCTGCACCATATTGATGGTTACAATGTTGAAATATTTCGAGGGTAAATAGTATCATGGTAATTACAATAAATGTTACAATTAATAGAAATTTTAATATAAACTCATTGGTTTGTGTTAATAGTTGTAGGATGTCATTACCATTGACAATAGGCCTCCTGTTGTTTCCACATTATGACACAATCTGGCCTGTCACTGCAGGGACTGCAGCCGAGTTACATGTGTTAAAACACTAACTGCTTTAGGAGAGTCACTAGTTTAAAATACTTTTATTGGACTGGGTGCAGTGGCTCACACCAGGAATCCCACACTTTGGGAGGCTGAGGTAAGAGGATCACTTGAGCCCAGGAGTTCAAGACCAGCCTGGGCAACATGGCAAAACCCTGTCTCTACAAAAAAATACCAAAAGAATTAGCCAGGCATGGTGGCGCATGCCTGTAGTCCCAGCTACTGGAGAGGCTGAGGTGGGAAGATCCCTTGAGTCTGGGAGGTCGAGGCTGCAGTGAGCTGAGATCTTGCCACTGCACTTCAGCCTGGGTGACGACAGAGTGAGACCCTGTCTCAAAAAATAATAAAATACTTCTATCGTAAGCACATACATTAATTCTTCAGAAAATAGGTATGCAGTGTTTTATATTTATATATTTAAGATTTTATTATGGAATATCAGAAATATCCACCTAGAATGAGACAACAAAAATCTGGATGAATTTTCAATACTTTTAAGTATGATAAATGTAAATCTTGATATCTGCAGAAGAACAAACAAGAAATTTATTATAATAATGAATCCCAGCCTGGAACTTCTTTTGATACTGTTTAAGAATCAGCACAAAATAAAATTTATTATTTATAAGATAAACTTTATTACATAAAATCTATAGTAATCCCAACTACTCAGGAGGCTGAGACATGAGAATGGCTAGAACCTGTGGGGGTGGAGGTTGCAGTAAACTGAGATCTCATCACTGCACTCCAGCCTGGGCAACAGAGTGAGACTCTGTCTCAAAAAAAAAAAAAAAGAAAAAAGAAAAAGATTTGGAAGCTACTGTCAGAATTTTTAGCACCACTGTATAGTTAAGTGTAATTGAGCATTTCACACACATTTCCTAGAATTTCAAAGGGATTAATATTGATATGAACCCGCCATTCTCTTGTGGACTCACCTGTTAAACACCGGACGTACCCAAATGAGAAAACAGCTTTTTGAAAAATATGTAAATCAGAGGTATATTTAAAGTCATCATCTAAGAAGCTTCATTTTTTTATGTGAGTATGTTTTAATAATTAAAATGCAAATTTAAAGGTTTTTGAATATAATGGTTTTTGTTGATCTTATGACACTGGGAAACATTTAGTACACTGTATTGTCTTTATTGTGAGTAGACAAGAAAGAATTATATTTGAGATATAGTTCCATAAAGATGTAACATTGTGCCAAATAAGAAGATTGTCATTGGATTTTATACAGAAAGTGCTAATACAATTCTAGAGAGAGTACGGAGTTTCAGCCAAAAGTTTAGAAACAATGTGGATGTTTTAATTTGGCACTAAGTTATCAAATTCAATTTTGGATAAGTCAATAAGAGAACTCATGTTTTTCTTGATAAACTATATTTACTACCACACACCAAATAAATAGCAGAAATAACTAAATTAAGTAATGCAAATTGAACCTTGATGGACAAGCCTGCAGTGCTAGATCTGCAAAAGCAATGTGGAAGTCAGTAAGTTCTGCATTCAAATGCTCTACCCCTGAGCTATACCCCTTGTGGTGGAAGTCAGTCAGTTCTGTATGTTCACTGTAGTGGACACAAATGCGTTTGGGCCTTAATAAATGATAGTTTAATGGAGACATCAGTATTTATTTTAGAGTTTTTTTGTTCTGAGATGAAGTCTCGCTCTGTTGCCCAGACTGGAGTGCAGTGGCGCGATCTCAGCTCACTGCAACCTCCATCTGCCAAGTTTAAGTGATTCTCCTACCTCAACCTCCCGAGTAGCTGGAATTACAGGCATGCGCCACCACACCTGGCTAATTTTTGTATTTTTAGTAGAAATGGAGTTTCACCATGTTGGCCAGGCTGATCTCAAACCTCTGACCTCAAGTGATCTGCCCACCTCAGCCTCCCAAAGTGCTGGGATTATAGGTTTGCGCCACCGTGCCTAGCAGTATTTATTTTAGCTTTATAAGAAAACATGTTTTAGCTATTAGAGCTGACATTATTTCAATAAACTGTAAAGCAGTTGGACATATGTAAACAAAGGGAAGTTTGAAACAAGTGGAAGTTATTATGGATAAGAAAAAATAGGTATCCTGTTTAAAAAAAAAGTGAAGTATCAATTCTAAGAGAAAAATTATTGAATTTTCTAATAAATCAATGTATTTGATGACAACAGTGAAACATGTAATAAACTTTTAAGCCCTTTCAATTTATTAAATCTTGACATAAAGCCTCCTGGTTTGTGAAGCTCCATGAATTGAGAGTGAACAGAACATAGTGAGTAAGCCAGTAAGTTAAAAGATATTTCAATAAGTGATTTTTGTGAGTTGGTCAATAGCAGAGATATTGAATCAGTTCTATATGTTCTTAGACTATATTATAAAGTCTATAGAATGTTTAATTGCTATTGATAAGAAACTGAGGATTCCACACTAAAAACAGTATCATTGATGTTAAGGAAATTCTCTACTTAATTCATTTAATGATTAGCCATTTAATGAGGAAGTTGCTGGAACAATTGGATGTTGCTTCCTATGTCAAATCATTACCCCATACGGGGTCAAGATCTAGTGACAACTGCATCAAAAGATTCATAACTTCCAAAAATCAAGAAATGATTTAGACACATTAGATCTGTCAAATTATTTTTGCTACAAGTTACATTGTCATTTTATGATATGTTATTTATTTAGAAATATATATGTTTTTAAATTTTTGATTTACATTTTGACCAGTTCAAGATGGCTTCTTGTTTTGTTTGTAAAATCTAGAGAGATCACATAAAACATAAAATCTAGATTTTTTACTTCTCTTGAAAGATCAGAAGACCCAACAACACTGGGCTAATATTCCTACATGCCAGAGATCAGCAAGTTGTGGCTACTTTTTTAAGATTGGTCAGCAGCTCTTTCTCTCCCCACAGTTACCACTTGTCCCTTGCCTCTTGCCTGGTCTCTAAGCATTTGAATTTGTGGCCTCTGCTGTAGTTTTAAGCCTGGGTTCTTGGCAGGATGGTGGCATCTTTTATTTCATTTACCTAAATAAGGAAATCAAGAAGAGAACAGGTTGCCTACTCACCCCCATGGTGAGTGTGTGTGTTTGTGTGTGTGAGAGAGAGAGAGGAAAGTGAGTTCTATTTTAAACATGCAGAGTTTGAGGTACCAGCAATTGATCAATCAGAAGTCCAATAAGCAGACCTGGTGCTCAGAGATGAGTTAGAATTAGAAGCATGTTAAGTCATTTTCCATGAGAGTAGATGAGATTTCCAAGGGAGAAAGCATAGAGAGACCAGATTTAAGGAAAGACACGGTGGGAGAGGGGGTCAACCATATTTAAGGGTGGGAAGGAGGAGGAACAGCCAGGTAACAAGACAATCTGATATAATAATTAGGTTGGGGAAGACAGTGGGTTGGGGGAGCTGGTTATTCTTTTGGCCAGTTTGGTGGTGTGTTGGTTAGGATATAAATTTAGCTGTTGGCCAGGCATGGTGGCTCATGCCTGTAACCCTAGCATTTTGGGAGGCTGAGGCGGGCAGATAATGAGGTCAGAGTTGGAGACCAAAAATTAGCCAGGTGTGGTGGCACACATCTGTAATCCCAGCTACTCAGGAGGCTGAGGCTGGAGAATTGCTTAAACCTGGGAGACAGGTTGCAGTGAGCTCAGATTGCGCCACTGCACTCCAGCCTGGATGACAGTGCAAGACTCCATCTCAAAAAAAGAAAGAAAAAAAAATTTTTGACTGTTGCTTCAGAGATTAAAAAAAAAAAAAAATCAGTATCATAAACCAGATGGAAGTCCAGGTAGCAGTACAGGTATGAAGCTTTCTGTCTCTTATTTCTCCACTCCCTTTTGGGTGGTGCTGTGGCCCACAAAATCCAGTATGGCCCATCGTCGTGTCTACATTTTGGCCGTTTGGAAGGTGAAAAAAAAGGGAGAGGTGGGACTACCTTTCTGTTAATGCACAACTTGGAAGTTGGACACATTGCATCGATTCTGTTCCTTTGGCTGTAACCTAGTCCCACTTACCTGAAAAGGAGTTTGAAAAATCTAGTCTTTATCCTGTAAAGTCACGGGCTGGCTACTGCCATGAAACAAGGGGAGAATGGGTATTGGGAGACAGCTCTCAGTCTGTCTAACAGGTAGTGAAGAGAAAGTGGGACTTGAAAAGGAGAAAGGGGAGGGAATATGGTAAACTTCTGGGATTGGACAAAGATAGCTCCCTGTGACTAGAAGAGTAAGGCTAGCAATAGAGCTATCGTTGGAGAAACTAGGCTTCATCACAGTTGTTAATATGTAGCAAATGCATGACGAACTAGACAGATGAAGGAAAATGGTGCCCTTCAGAGATAGAGGCCTTCCAGATTTCTGAGGTAGAAGCCCTCCAGGAGGAAGAAAAGAAAGGAAGGCAGGCAGGCAGGCATGTGGAAGCCTGACTCCCAGGGAAGAATTCAGGAGGCTTTTCCCCCCAGGGATCAGAGAATACCCAAGAAACATCCAGGGCATGGCTGATTGTGTCAGTCAAGGTTCTACCACAAACAGAACCACTAGGAGATGCATATAGTCGTCCCTTAGTATCCGTGGGGTTTTGGTTCCAGGACCCCCCAACCCTAGCAGCCCCATCCTCTGCAGATATCAAAATCTGCGGATGCTCAAGTCCCTGATATAAAATGATGTAGCATTTGGTTGTAACTTAAACACATCCTTTTGTATACTTTAAATGATCATTACTTACATCTAACACAATGTAAATGCTATGTAAATAGGTATTTGTATTTATATTATGTTTTGTTATTTTTCATTGGTTTTTAAAAAAACTTTTTTTTTCTTTGAGACAGTCTTGCTCTGTTGCTCAGGCTGGGGTGCAGTGGCATGATCTCAGTTC